TAAATTTGTGGACAAGGTAGATCCTTTTAGTGGAAGCAATTTGTTTTAAAATTTTTGTGTTCATTTTTGTTTTTTTATTGTTATTGTTTTTTTCCTGAGGATAATAATATAAAACTGTGTTTACTCACCCACTTGACTCAGTTTTCAGCTCATACTTCATTAGATTAGATCTACTTCTGAGAATCCTTTATTTTTTTGGTGTTCAAGGACCTTGAATTCTCCATATGTACTTCATCTCTTGAGTTTAGACCCAATCTTGCCAATACCCTTCATGGTTAACATTAAGGTCAGAGAAATGAAAGTATGAAATGAATTTATGTTCCAGTTTAGATATGAGGTGTCCCCAAAATGTTCATGTGTGAGACAGCGCAGGAAAGTTTAGAGACGTAATGATTGGGTTATGTCAGCCCTAACCTTATTAGTGCATTAATCTACAGACATGGATTAACTGGGGAGGGTGAGGTGACTGCAGGCAGGGACAGTGTGACTGGAGGAGGTAGGTCACTGGGGGCATGTCTTTGGGGTTTATATTTTGTCCCTGGTGAGCAGAACTCTGCTTTCTGTTGCCATATCCTGAGCTGCTTTCCTCCGCCATGATGTTCTGCCTCTCCTTGGACCCAGAACAATGAAGTTGGCCATCTATGAATTGAGACCTCTGAAACTCTGAGCTCCAGATAAACTTTTCCTCCTGTGATTGTTATTGTCAATTCTTTTTTTATTTTATTAAATTTATTGTTCATTTTAAAGCAAACCAATTACACAGTAACATGACAATTCCAACTTGTTCACAAAAAGTGATAATTGAGTTCTATTCTTCAGCTCAGCTACATTACACCACTTATCACCTGATTAAATAAGATAATGAAATTTACAAAGGCACCGCTGTGTTCAATACATTGACAAATTCAATACATTCAAGATTTCAATTCAGAAGCTTCTTTCCAACATTTTGGGAAATGTACTCAGATACAGAACGATTAGTCATCCTTTTCCCATCTGTTACTTTAAAGATTTCGGCTGAGTTTGTCTGGCAAAAATAGCATCAAACTTACTAGCCTCTCTTTTTAACTACTATTTTTTTTAAGCTAAGCAGAATACAAAAATCTAAAAATCTCATTTGATGAATAATTTATGAAAATTACTCAATAGATTTCATAGTACAATCTTCAGTCTTGTCTTTTTCAAGCACAGTGATCAGTGCATCTCAAAAGTTGAGGGAATGCCAAAGTAATACATATTAAAATTAAAATTTTTAAAGAAATCAAAGCCTTCAAGTTGTTCAATGATGAATGAGGTTTGTATATTCAAAAGGTAGTGTAAAACTATAAAGTATTAAAAAACAAAACAAAAAAAGAAAAACAAAAAAATGAGGAACTACATTTTGCTACACACTGGGACAGAAACTGGACTTTTCAAATAGCTTCTATCCAGAAAATAAAGATTAATAACTAATAGCGGCCAGAGTTCTTATACTACTATTAAAAAAATAAATAAAAAAGGATTTAAGCTTTTACATCCAGTTTGAGATCAATTTGAGAATATAATACCTGCCTAGCAGCTCTTTTGTAAAATGTTACTATAGAAAAAAGAAAATAAGCATATTACCTTTTTTTATTCCTAACAAAAATAATATGTAGAAAACACATGTCCAGTTTCTTTAACATAGAGAGACTTAAGTGTCACATGTTAAAAGGAGGCACTGCTGGTGGAAGACCCTAAAGAACAATGCACACCACAGTCCTCAGCCTTATAAGTCATAAGAGTTACTCAAATAGCATGTTTTTTTTTGTTGTTGTTGTTGTGTGTGGGTCTGTTTTTAAGAGCAACAGAACATAGTTTCTCTAATCATCAATATTCAGGATATGAAGAACTCATATAGCTAACAATGACAAGACTTTCCATTGCACAACAGATACATGATAGTTTGAGTTTTGGACCTTCATACAAATTTTGAAGGCAACATCATTTATAAAACTAGTAGGCAAATGTATAACATTTTTAATAGTAAAAACTCATCATAAATATCTCCCATGCCAAAGTATTAGCATATATTACACTCTGGCCACCATATATATTAGTTTCACTATTAGAAAGCAGAATCAAAATCTTTCAGGCAAAAGTTACGTAAACAATTCAAGTCTGCTTTAAAATCTGAATAATCATTTAATGAGAGGCTCTTAGTTCCATAAATAAAACCAAGTTAATAGTAATATATACCAATGACTGCCCAAAGTGAAATCTTTATGTAGAGTAACATTTTACAAAAGTTACCATAAGATATATTCACACACAACAAAATGAGATTTAGCACTGTCATTCATATTTTCCAGAATAAATTCTACTTTCTTTCTTAAAAGTAAAACTGCATTCACAGGAAAAGGACTAAAGTGCTAAAACTTTTTTTTTTAAATAATTTTCTATGGTCACTAAAAATACCTAACATAGTTAGTATAGTTAATTCCTAAGTCATTTTTTAAAAATAATAATTTTTCTTATAAAACCAAAAATGCCTTTTCCCCAGTTTGAAAACTTTACTTACTTATTTGATGGGGAACATTCCTTTGGTTATTGAATACAACAAAATCACAAAACCACAAGAAACTAGGATAAAATACTTAAAGTTCCCTATTTAACACTACACCTTAAATATCCAGACTGTCACTAAAAGCTAGAAAGAAGGAATTTCTAATAAATGTCTCAGCTCTCCTTAAAAACAGCAGTTAAGTCACATGAGAAAAATCATGAGGTAAGCATCAAGAACGTTGGTCAAAACACAATGGCAAAATCCAATCCTAGTACAATGCTTTAAAAATCCATCCTAAATTAAAATTATACTGAACAGCCTAATGTAAATGTCTTTGTAGGAGGCTTGAGGCATTTGTGAACAAGTATACTAAAGATCTGCCAACATGTAACTTATCCATGTACTGATACTCATTTCGTACTTAAATAGCCTGCTGGTTTTTCAGCAATGTTCTTCAGGCTTCAGAACAAACCACCATAAATCACACATGCCTAAGTCCTATTGTATATTGTTTCATTAAAAAAAATTGGACTCTGGGAGTGTAGCTTAGTGGTAAAGTGTGTGTTTAATATGAATGAGAACCTGGATATAATCCCCAACAACATTAAAAAAAAAAAAGCTGAAGAATCAATAAGTCATTTTAAGTCCAACCCCTGACTCTAAGACAACAGAAACATTCAGAAACCAGTAGTTTAAGAAAAGCTATCTGTTCTGTGCCATCTTTCTAATGAAATCAAGAATCTATATGCAAATAAAACTAAATCTTCTGATAACTCAAACCTTAATCAACAGTGATGTATAAAAACAGCACACAAGTTCTATCTCATTTCATCTAGATGGTCTAGAATTTGTTATTGGCACTTAAAAGATTTCATGAAAGTATCAAGGCACAAGGAATAACTCCTTGGACACAAAATATAAATGCAATAAACAGGGACATTACTAAGTGGGCTGTAACTCATAAAACTGTTATTTAACCAGCAGAGCTTATGTCATAATCAGGATGACATGACTGGTGACTAAAACCACTGGCATTCTGAAAGGGAAGGTATAAAGGAATGAACTACAGAGCCTGGGAGACCTTTAGAGAAACAAAAGGGAAAGACATAATACAAGATTATTGTCACTTCAGTTCTAGAAATTCAAACAACTCAAAAGTAATAATACTGTAAGACTGTTAAGGCTAAAACATTCTGATTCCTGCCACATTATCAGAAAGCTCCTAAAGGCTCTAAAATTGCAAGAACACTAAAGTCTTAAGATTTCCCCTGGCAAAAGAAAAAACAAAAAAACTTACCAACTTGGCAAAACTCACAGATAAAATTTAAGTATAAAAGCAAAAAGCTCCTCAGAATGATTAATCCAAATTAAGCTATTATTCTCTACTACCACAGAGAGCAAAGATCGTATTTCTACATCTATTTTTATGTTCCCCAAAACTAGCATATAGGAGGAACTCATATTTATAGAATGAACATACATGTTATGTCCATGAGCCCAAAATGTATGAGTGAAAGCCTATCAATTCCTCTAAATTAGTTTACATTCAAAAAAGTAAAAAACAAAACAAAACAAACAAACAAAAAAACAACCAAAACAACCTCGACAGGTAATTTTGCTTCAAGTTTACTTATTTACCATAGAATACAGTAATTTTAGATAACTGACTTTTCTCAAGCTTTATTATATTGGAAATCAATTATATTTAATGAATACTTAACCACAGCCATGCTTATCTGATCTTCTTTAGAATTAATACTGGCTCTAAAAAGTAAACTGGTACTATGGTTGATTTGATTAGCTGGTTAAATAATCATTAAGAACTAATGGTTGTAATTTGGGGATTGATTCTTCAAAGCAATCAATCCCATTATGATTTTTCCTCTCCATAACTTGAGAGAATACAATCCTATACTCCAGCCAGCTAGAGAGCTACTAGATAGTGCTATGTGAGCCACTATTCACATGTTTCCAGCCATGGAATGTGGAGGATTTGGCATAGATGCATCATCACCTCTTTACTGATATCTAGTCATTATCTGTTTTCTCCAAATGTGAAGAAGAATTCGTTAAACTGCCAAAAGTTACCATAAAATGCTTCTCTGGTACAGGCAGCTTGAATGCAACCTAAATATGTATTTTTAAAACTATTTTTGTATTGTAATTTACTGCCAGATTATATGGAATTCTCAGAAGACACATGCTGTAGAATAAACAAGCCTCAAAAATTAATGATTAAAGAAAAAAATTCAATATCCATTAAGAGTATAGTTTCCTAAGTTAAAGCCTGACAAAAATGAATAAGGAAAGTTTCCCTACTTTCCAAGGACCAAATGAAACATTGTAGAACTACACCACAAAATTTTTTCTCTGATTAGAAGTGGAATTAAACCAAGGACTAAAAAGATCTAATATTTCACTATTTTCATCTGCTCAACTCCCCACTTCCTACTTAACATGCAATCCAAATCTCAAAACGTCCTCTTCCTGCTCTTGCTACTTTCTTTTATGTCCATGAGCCCTTATTTTGAAAAGGAACAAATAATTCTCGGATGTATAGTCTTCAAAATTTGGCTTACAGGACCTGTATTCTGTTTTTTGTCAAAGTACATAAAGCAAATCTACTGATCTTCAACACATCTTCAGTCAATAAAATCACACTGCATCCTGAATGTGGGTACTTTGCAATCATTATGTATGAAAAAGGTCAGAATGCACCATCTATCAGTATCATACATGAAAAATGCAACATATGGATGGATTATATCTGACTTTGAAACAAAAAATGATACAATCACGATTTTAGAACCTAATGGTATTCTTAAATGTAATTCAGTAGCGAAACACCATAGTCTAAAGGGTATTTATAGCAATACAGCAAATAACATTGAGTTAATTCACAATAGTCAATATCTGATGTATAATTATTGCTAGACTACCCTGCATTTTTTGTCAGGTGTGTTTATAATTGTGTCGATCACAATTTTTAGACTGTACTGAAACAGCTGTTCATAGAAATTTTTTCAGGGCTCACACAAAAGGAAGACTTATAAAAATGCACATAAATGTTCAGCATTTGAACAGTAAGAAGCTATAACTTGAATGCATTCAGACCTGTAGCAGGCTGTTGCTGCTGCGTAAGTGTTGCAGCCATGGCAACGGCTGCTGCATTTGGCATGGTGCTGAAAGGGGTTGGTCCAGTAGTAACTCTGGGTGCATTCTGCCACTTCTTAGCTTCTGCTTGCCTGGCTTCAAATACATCTACAGCATCTCCCAAGAACATTTTTCTGCAGCCAGGGTACTGTTCTTTGAGTACCTTTACATTTTCATGAATAGACTGAAGTTGTGCAGCTAAAGCTACAAATGTTTGATAAATTTTCTGCATAGCCATTGACAAATCTTGAGGGGTTATATGTGAATTATTTGCTTGGGTGGCAAGATGGTTTTCTAGTTCTTCAATCTGCTGTCTGTATTGTTGGAGCTGTACCTCAAATTGCTGAACCAAGATTCTGAAGTAGTCAGCAGGAGCTGTATTTTCATGTTGAAGTCCAGGTGGTGTTTTTTGGGTTCTTAAAGCTATTTCAGCATTCTTTAACTCCTGAGCAGTTTCTACTTTCAATTTATCAATATTAAGAGTGTTTCTCTGTAATCCACTGGCAGCCAATGATAGAAGTTGCTTCAGAGCTTTAATATCTTCTTGTACTTTAAGCATTGCTTTTGAAGACATTCTACTAATTTCTTCTTGGACCTGTTTTTGTTCCTTCACAAATTTCTGGAGATTTTCAACATCCTGGCAGATGACAGGAGGTAGATTTTCATCCTTCAGTGCCTTACTATCCTCTGGTCTTGTTCCTGTTTTATCACTCTTTTTATCTGATGAGCTACTAAAATCTATGCCACCGAGGCCTTCATTGTCTGCAGCTGAAGTAGCTGCTGTAGTTCCCAAAGTCAGGCCTAAAGCATTTTGTCCAAGTCCTGATGCTGCTGTGTTTGTACTCTGGAAAAGTGAACCTCCCAAACCAGCTAAGGCTCCCCCTAAAGAAAAGCCTGTTGATGCAGCTGTAGTTGTGGCTGTTGTTCCTCCCAGATTATTTAGAGTAAATCCAGTGGATGCTGCTGGAGTTGATGTCAGAGCAGATGAAAGAGTGAGACAGCTTGCTGAGGTAGAATAGGAAGAGCAAATGGTGTGGCAGATGCTGCAGGTTTATTGAATCCTAAACTGAAGCTAGTTGTAGATGCAGATGTAGTGGCTGGTGTTCCCAGAGTTAGTCCTGTAGTTATAGTTGTTGCTATTCCTGTGTTTGTTCCTCCTAGAGTGAACCCAGTGGCAGGCTTAGATCCAAAGAGTACAGTTCCAAAACCACCAGAAGAAGTAGACGTAGTTGCTGGAGTTGCAGTGCTTCCAAGAGTTCCAAAATTGAGTCCCACAGAAGGGTTGCTAGATGCTCCAGTCCCGAAAGAAAAACCGCCGCCAATGCTGGTCCCACCGGCCGCCACGGTGGTGGAACCCAGCGACCCGGAACCGAAGGAGAAAGCCCGTGGCCATGGCTGCCTCGGGCTGGACGCCGTCAGCAACCTGAAAAAGGTCGGAGACCCTCCTCTAGCCTTAAAGTCGAAGTGGACCGGGCAGCATTGCTCTTGGCCAGTTCCGGCTTGGCGGGCACTTCAAGCCCTAGAGGCGACCGCGAACCACGGCCAAAATGGATGGAGCCACTAAACCAAAGCACGCCCAACGCCCGCCGCGCGCTCCTAGCACCATTGTCAATTCTTTTGGTCATGGTGATGGAAAAACTGACTAAAACAATGAGAATTCCTTAAAGCTAATGTCCCCAGACTCCTCCTAAGATCTCAGGGTGGGAGAATTACTGGATTGATTCATGTGGCAGCCCAAGTTCCAGTGGGAACAGACAGAACAAATGACAGGAACTTGGCTTCTAAGTTCCCATCCAGTTGACTAAGGGCACTAATACTTTTGTGGGTCTACACTGAACTGGGATCCAGATGTTATGGGTTGGAGACTTTTCTTGCTTGTGCTCATTCAGTGGACCGGAAATATGAATACCACTGGGGTTTTAGGAAACGGGTTGCACCTGGTACCATGGGGGATAGGAGGACCCCAGTGTGCAGAGCTCTGTCCTGGTGCTGGGATCCCAAAGTATCCTTTGTAGGAAGGAAAAGCTGAACTGGATTTCTGTGTTCAGCGTTGTGGCCACACGGGGGCGCTGTCATATTACTCTGAAATTTTGCCTGAGCAGCCCAGGAGAGAGCTGGGCTGTGAGTGGGTGGGAGGTGCCACTCTGGGGTTGGGTATCAATGGGAATGAAGAAGCTTCTGAGGAGCTCTGGACTCTTCGAGGTCCAGGTCAGGAATGTGCCAGAGACTGAAGAAGAAAGATCAAGAGAACTTACGCTCTCCCAAAGGCTTCTATCTTCTCTCTGCTACTGAACTTTTTAGCTTCCTGGCAACACCCCATTATATATGACAAGGAAAAATATTTTCCTCTATTCCCTATTTCTGTTTTTTGAAGCTCAGTTTTAAGAATCTCCCTATTCACTAGGTTTTTCAATAAAATCACCTCTTATTTGTGAACAATGTCTTAATATCCACCTAATATCCTAGAGTGTGGACATGCACATTGGGACTATCAGGACAAAGGACACATCCTTTCTCCTCGTTGGGCCTCTGGTACCCACAGCAGGGCAGAAAAAATCCTGTTCTGGAGTCAGACATGTTCCCAGAAGTCTCATCTTCAGCAGCAGGTGCCAAAGGACCTGAGCCTTAGGGTGGGTGCCCTCTCTTCTTACAGGACAGGAGTAAATTATTATGCATCCTTTCAAGATGTCCCTCCTAATAGAAGCCTGGGTTTTCCCGAGGACCCAGCCCCTCTCAATTTCTCTCTGCATGGTGCTTCCCTAGGGACATTGCACTCCTGGGTTAGGAGGTGAGGTAAAGACCTTATTCCTCATTGTGGTTCTCAGACCTTTCTGTTTCTTTGATGTCTATCATTCCCTAACTTGTCACCAGAGTAGAGCTCCCATTCCCCTCATTGTTACTATTCCCCAATTCATTCCCCTATTTCTGGGCTCTTTGCTCCTGGGTCCCTGTCTCCTCTCTAGCAGCAATGTCTCCTTGATCCTCATGGGTTTCAACACAAGCAGAATTGGTGAGTGAAGAATGAGCCCCAAAGATGCCCAGGCCCTAATCCTTAGAACAGTGAATAGGATGCATCACATGGCAGAGGGGACATTGCTGATATAATTAAGGTTAAGGACCTGAAAATAGGGAGATGTTCCTGGATTATCTGGGTGACTCAATCAAATCACATGAATCCTTAAAAGCAGACACCTTCTCTGGCTGGAGTCAGAGAGATGCTGCAGAAGAGGCAGGCAGAGGGGACATCAGAAACAGATGAGAGGATGTCAGAGATTTCAGTGAAAGAAGGATTGGTATGTGCTCTAGGGGCTATGTGTGAGGGCTAGAAAGAGAGCTCTAGGAGCTAAATATGGCTCCCAAATTACTGTCAGCAAGGAACTGGGAGTTTTAGCCCTACATCTGCAGGGAACTGAATTCTAACATCCTGAATGAGCTTAGAAACTTATTTATTCCCAGAGTTTACAGTAAGTTTCACAGACCTTCTGACACCTTGACCTTAGCCCTGTGAGACCCATTACTGGACTTGGGAATTCATAACTGTCAGGTCATAAATGGTGCTGGCTAAGGCTGCTTAGGTTGTGGTAATTTGTGAGGCTCCAGGAGCTCTGTGAAGACTGGAAAAATGATGTCCAACTCTCAACAGATAGAATACAGAAGCTAAGGGAAGTCAGGGTGTGGAATGTAGAGATTTTGTGAAGGCCTAAGACCCATATTTTGTAAGAGACCCAGCAGGCCCCCCACTTTTACCACAGTCTTCAGAAACGAGCTGGTGACAGGGACCTGCATTGCTAAAAAGTTTAGGGTGCTGTTCTCTGCAGGCTGTGGATAAAGGTAGTAATGGTGATCCCAGAGTTAGGCTCATTAATACCTAAGGAGAAATCCTAGTCCCGAAGAGCTGGAGACCAAGTGGTGGCAGTTAACTAGCACAAGTGAGGGGAAGCCACCACAGTAACCACAGAGCAAAGGCAGCTCCACCTGCAGAGGGCTGCGGAGAAGGTTCATGAAGGGTGGTGTCCTTAGGGTCAAAACAGACAGTCAGCCTGCAGAACAGTGCTCAGTATCTGTGATAAAAAAGCAGTTGAAGATCAGGAGGCTGAAGGTGTTTGAACCAATTAAAAACAAATCATGGGCTGGGGATGTGGCTCAAGTGGTAGCGCACTTGCCTGGCATGCGAGCAGCCCGGGTTCGATCCTCAGCACCACATACAAACAAAGATGTTGTGTCCGCCAAGAACTAAAAATAAATA